AACAGTGTGACAGCCTATCTACATGTAGTTTGGGTGTTGCCGCCAAGGTCCGCTTACCCCCTTTGTGATTATAGCCAGTATCGCTGTTCCACCCAAACACTACCCAAGACTTAGTGAAGCATGAAGAGGAACTGCTTTAGGAACTGTTAAACACACTTTTATACCTTGGTCTCCAACAGGGGATCGCTAGAAAACAATAGGTATTGCACAAGATCTGGTGCCTAGGTGTCTGTTCCTGGCCAGATAATTTAGTTAGTGGTCAGAAACCTTGACTCCTAATAACATTTATACATGAAGACCAAGGTTTCTGTGCTTGCATTTCCAAGACAATGCCATCTCCGTTAAGCTCTCTCCTGAGCGCCCAAAAAGCACTCGGATCGGAGGTCTCTAGCTCAAGTTATTTGGGTGTAACGTTTTGACCGGGGCGAGATTGTCCTCCAATGCAGCACAGAGTCCCTCAGAGCTGGGAGGGTAGTCCTGGTTATCTAAAATGATGGTGCTTTCTGACGGTACATTGAGCTCTCTCAAGTGCTTGGTGTCATTGTTCAAAATTAATAAGTTTGGGGTTTCAGGCGTAGCCGCAATTCAGCCAAATTCGGGCCAATTGGGTGATCGGTCGAATTCCTAAACTAAGAGGTTAGATGTACACTAGTCAGAAATGTTCAGTTTGGGGTTGCGATTCTGGATTCTGTCCATGGTGCCAAAAAAGAGACGATTGATGGGGAAAAAAGAAGATTGATGGCTTGGGGACAATTACAAAATGTTGATTTAGCAAGCAAATCTTGTCCAGCAAGACCCACCATGTTTTCCTGAATAGACATCACTTCTTCATGCCCACAGTGTGTAGAATTCAGTGCTGCAGAATTTTTCATCTTAAATAATGGATTCTCTTGACTAATGGACCCACCTTGAAGTGGGTTTCTTTCTCGTCTTAAGGAACCTTGCTTTTCTTTCTTTTGATTAAAGTGTTACATTGGTTTTTGGAGGAGAGCAGGGGCAGGTGACAGCAGTGCCCCCAGCCCCTAGGCATCCCTTGACTATGTTGTTTTTTGATTTGCTTTCTGTATTTGAATGCTACATGCCACATGATAGCTTGTGTTGTCCATCAGTATATTTAATAGATTTGTGTCTGGGAAAACACGATCGCTCTTAGAGACCTAATACAACATAATGAAATGGACTTTTACTAATATAAAAAGCTGCAGGAATATCAAATACTCTTTATTTCAGTTATCTTCTAAAATACTAGGAGTTATTGAATGCTAATGTGTTTTTTTCTGAACTTGTGGATGCTTACTTCAGTGTACTATGCATCTTAAATTTTGATTAATTGTTTTAAACTTTGTAATTGCATTTTTTTCTTTTTTTTTTTTAATCCTTATAAAGTGTATTTTAAACAATGTGTTTTTTTCTTGAAATGTTCTCTATGAGAAGCATAAAAAACAGAACAGAGAAATCCAAGATAAGAAGGAAGTGGCAGAAAGTGAAATAAATGAGGAGAGATGTACGTGTCCCGGCAATAAAAATGTATACACTTTCTTCAACGACTCAGCTTAAACGCGCTGCTATTATGAAAATAGAAACGGAAGATGGTAGAATATTAGCATAATTATAAGATTAGAAATGGTGTTATTGCTAAGGAGCAGCGTGAGATGGAGCATAATTGATGTAAATGGATCCAGTGGGGCTAAGACATAGATCATAGATTTGAGAGTTCTCTTTTGGTCACCTCCCCCCGACTACGAGGGCATAAACTGCATACATGATACCTGCTTAAAAAATGAAATAAGATTTAAATATCACACAGGGCTTTATTTACTAAACTAGCTGTGGAGACCAAACAAAGCAATTGCAAAATTATGATAAAAATATCTGATCGGAGCTGGAAAAATTTCTAAGATGGCGATTTTGTTTTCCCCCACTGGGCTACTTTCAGTGGAAGGCAGGAAAGGGACAATTTCTCCCCCAATCTCTAGTATTCGGGGGGGGGGGAGGAGTTGCTGGCTGTAGTCTCACAGTGCCTTTCTGATTCTGATAGTAAGGTTTGGAAGAGAGCTGTAAGAATAAAGCAGCTGACAGGATTTGGCAGACGGGCTCAGAGTTTGGTGAGTTTTGTAAATAATTATTTGGTTGTATGCACTTGTGCCGGTTTGACCGAAGGTTTGCAAATTGAGATTACAATGGCTCACACACTTAACTGTTTAGAGAATAGGATTTTATTCAATTCAGAACTGTGAGGAGCTGACAGAGAAATTAAAAATTTAAGTCAGAGTGGTTAAATAGGAAAAATAAATAATTGCAGTTATTTTTCGGGTTGGCGGTTTTGGCCTATAATTCAAAATTAATTTTGTCATTTTTCGACAACTCCTGATTTGGAGAAGGGCTCTGCCTTGATTTCAAAGTGAAATCAAGGTGAATTTAAAATGTAAGGCCAAAATAGTTGAACTGTGAAAATTATCTATGCTTCTAGTTTGTCTGCTTTGGCTTTCAGTTTGAAATACATGTGAAATTCTCAACAGTTCTCATTGTAGTAAATGACCTTGCCTATATTTTTGATTAAAAATAAATAAAATGTTCAGTCAATGTTCTTTAGATTACACTTTTTTTTTAAACTTAAATCTATATGTTTTTGTCAATTATTTGCACATAGCTGACAACAGACACATCT